CTTAAAAGCATATATTAAAAAAAAATTTATTAAATATACAATTAAAATCATTAACATGATATTGATTTTAAAAATAATTAATTATTAAAAATTATATAAATGTACTCTTTATTTTATTTTATTTAAATAAATAAAATTTTGTGTAATAATAACAGTAATGGTATTGATACCCGATGGTGTAAACTCTAAAATGTGTGTTGAGAGAGTGATGTTTGAATCTCATTATGTACAAATCGATTCAAAAGCCTATGAATTTGATCAATTTTTTCAAGTTTTGATCAAATTTGATTCGTTTTGACCAAATCTTACTACAAACCAGATTTATGTCTTGATTCGAATCGATTTTATAAAAATTTCAGTTCAACTGATTAGACCAACTGATTCGATCCAAATTTTAAAACAGTAGTCTCTCCAACATTACCACCTCCTACTCGAGCAATATATAGACTATAAATATAATAAACACCAACAAAGATTCGAGCGTGGGGCTCAACTTGAATTGCAATTCATCTCTTGTTTGAAGCTGTGTTGAGAGAAACATTTGAGGCCATTCAATCTACAATTATAAGGCATGAAAGCTATGAACTAATACTTGTCAATTCAGTTTCTATTAGCTCAAACAATTAAAAAAAAAAAACTCCTGTTTACGGAGGACTCATTTCAGCCCCACAACCTCAATCAAGCACCTTTAAAGCCATCTTCAGCACTTCTAACTTCAACCCGTGTTCCCTCACTAAACTTCTCCCCAATCCTTGAATTGTTAGGTTCCAACTTTTCTTCAGTCAACAAATTGATAGACTCCAACTTCTTTTCAGATATTGACTGATTAGAATCCAGTTTTATCTCCTCAGCCACTCCATTGTCTGACTTCATGCCTTTTGTTGTGTGCAGTTTAAGAAGTTAATGGATGAGGACACAAACTCCACAAGACATCAGGAATTGCAGCCCAGCGGGGAATAAAGATGTGAAACCAAGCGGCATCCTTTGAAGAATGTTTCCCAAAAGAGATTATCTTCCCACAAAATCCCACTATTTTCATAAACTAACTTAACCCTTTCCCGCTAGCTCAAAACTCACTGAAACTAATTACAACTAGGAGAGAAAGAACATGGACTCTAGATCACTCAGAAAGTATGTATCCATCATGAATGCAAGTCTGCATTATAAGCTTATAGCATCAGACAGCAACCCCCATGAAAACACTGAAGTAGTATAAATAACAAGTACAAAATTTGTCACTTCATCACCATCCAATTCAGTTATTTTATTAATCAAACTTCATATCCCCATTATAACATCCTTAACCAAGGCAAATTGTACATAACTTCTACATGGCCATGTATGGGGAAGAGTAAAGAAGCAAATGAAAGAAGTATATCATCACTCATTAGAAATGGTTGCAAAACACATAATTTAACACCACAAAAAGGAAAAACTTAATGTCAGAAGTATCTGCGGTGGAGAAAAAATTAAAATCATCATCACAAACATGATAGTTCAAAGAAACTTTCCAAATATTCCAAAAGCTTAACCATGTACTATAAATCTTTTGAATTGAAGCACAAGGAATTAGAAAGGAAGAATCTACTCAGTTCCAATAGAATCACAAGGCGGAGAAACATAAAAGTGAAAGAAATAAAGTTTGCTCATTCTATTCAGAGGAGCATATTAAGAAAAGTTCTAATGATAAATCATACAGAGACACATTTTCTAAATGTTTTTAACAAAAGCAAAATAACAAAATAGTCAACAAACACTTATCAAAGACTCTTGGCAACTTAAATTGGCAAAGAAGCATTTCTTACATGCTATACACTAGTCATTCCTCAAAAACAAATGGAAACAAGTTTATTAATGCAACATTAAGTGCTTTCAATCACAAAGACACGTGATGTAAGTAACTTTTTGAACTTAACAGAAGCTTTAAAGGTTAAGAATTTAGTACATTATCATAATTTTTCATTTAGTACAAGGCATTTTTGGCCCACATGTAGTCAGAGGAGTTGATTGAATCAATTTTTTGAATAAATACTTATACAAGGCTTCACTCAAACAATGAGCATACAGGGGCAACATTACCCAATTAATTTCCTATTAAGAATTCACATGGGGTTTTTTATTCCTGGTAACCCAGTAACATAATTGATTGTATATATAAAGGAAAGAAGCAGAACAAAGCAAATTCCTTTATTAAATCCTTTATTAACCCAATAACACAAGGCTTTAACAATATACAAATTAAATTAGTAACAGATAAATCTATA